CTTGAGCAAGGATTTGTCAACTGCGCGTGTTTATGGATATAATTTCTTTAACTCCGTATCAATTTAACAAATTCCATTTGAAAAATTTAACTAAATAAATATTTATAAATTGAATACCTTAAAAATGTTATGGTACTCTCTAAAAATGAATGAGTCAAAAATGACTAATGACTAATAGTTATTAGTGGCTGCTTCTTCACTTGTACCATGGTTAACCATGGAATACCATGGTATTCCCAAATTTAACAGCCAATTCTTATGTAAAATTGACGAATGATTTTTCAAAAGGCCTTATTTCCATTTTTACTTGAGTGTAATTTTTTGACAAAATCCCAAAGGTATGGTTAAAAGGCATATATTAACGGCGAAATATGACAGCCGGTCTGAAGTATTATTAAATATTCATCAGAATTTTTTTTTAAATAACTATATTGCCCTAACCTATACAGGTTATAGTCATTTTTTTGAAAAATTGTTGCAAATGGAAATACGACCTTTTGAAAAATCACTCCTCAATTGTCCCCTGAATCAGAAAATACCGTAAGAGGTTCTTTTTAAAATGTAATAAAACATCTTTTTATAAAATAGCTTAATTTAGTTTATTATAATTACATTTATATGATATTATTTAATACCTACACAATTAAACAATCTCCGTCACTGGATTCGCTCGTAGTATCATTAGCAGAGCATGGGAAACCATCAGAAGATAGCAACAGTTTTATTGCTTCGCGGGACAAAGATTTGCTCTTTTTTGGAGCAATTTTTCTGAAGCTAGAAATATACGAATCGGAAGATGCCATAAGCCAATGGAAAACATCTTCCATCGTTTTCTCCCGAGAAACTTTCAAAATTTATTTATAAAATTTAAATATAACAGATTTTATACTAAGTATTTTAAATTTGTATTATTTCTTTTACTTAATATTTTAGCAACGATTTCTTAATTCGCTAAAAAAATTGTCAACACAAATAACCAAAATTCAAATTTGACATTAACACACTACAATGCGCATGCGAAGTTGTTTTAACGCACCTACAAGAGGTGGGTTAAATATGTAAAATCGGTGTTAAATATCTTAGTAGTCACGAACAATTTACGCAAGTGAAAGTCTAGACACCGCTGTTGTAATAAACGTTTTGAATCGAGTAAACGTCATGAACGCAACTCAGAAATAAAAAAAAATCTTATATTTTGTAAAGCAAAATCACAGATACGCGCTCGACAGCCTTAAAATCGCGAGGTTTTTTACAACAACCGTGCCTGAGCGCCCAAGAACATAGTTTTAAAGAGCCGGGGGCAAGTTGGGGCAGCTAATTTATTGATGGCTTGATAGACAAAACTCTAAGCTATTCAACGGATCTTGAACTGATGCCTTACAATTCATAACAATTTTTGTAGCTCCATTGTTCTAAAAGCTCGATTCAAAGTTTGCGATTTTAACAGACCGATATTGTCAGTTACAATTACCCGTTGTTGTACAAGCAAAATCTACGAAAAACAAATACATATCTGAATTTTAGATACCTTGAAGATCACCCTTCATCAAACCGCATAACAATCGGACACACTAAACACAAGTTATTCACTTTTAAACAATAAACAATTTTCCGCAGCGATCGCGTGTAAAGTACCTTCAACTGAAAGCGTCAAGTTTAAACTGATGTACAACACAAAATATACGTATTTTATATATATTTTTTTAATACAGAATGGAGACAGGTATTAACTACCCATCTAACTCAAAATTTACCTGAAAAAAAATGTCAATTTTTTAGGTTTTGCCGATATTTTCCAGAATTGAAACACTGTGCGTCGTCTAAATTGTACCTATAGGTACAATTGTATATAACTCATTTTCGCTTTTTAAGAACAAAGACAATATTTTAAAACCGCGCGACAAAACAAATAAGTATTTTAAACAAAGGCATATTTTTCTGCCTCAGCAACGCATTTTTATTTAACAGCTAAACCTTGCACGGTCTTTTGCCGCTGAGTAAACTACTCTAAAACGCAATAACAATTTTGGTGCTTTGTACTTTTCAGATTGCCTCAAGTTATGAGTTCTTGCCTAATATTACATTACATGTAAATGCGCAAACCTCAAAGGTATACAATGTACATGCAATAGGGGAAGATTTATATTTTAAAAATGTTATGTTTATTTTTATTGCTTTACAAATGGGTTGGCTTTAAAATATACAGGGTGGTATACGCCTCCAGGACAGTCTAGCAAAATCGTTTATTATTGCAAATATTTTTTTATTTTAAATAGTTTTTTGTAAAAAAATGTAAATTTTAGTTTTATAGTTTAGTCCTGGATACAAATTGCTGTTGACGAGAATTATTAGTGGCTGCTTTTTCGCTATGACTTATTTGACTAATTAATTTTTAGAGAGAAAGTAATATAGTGATTTCTTCGTCACAGGACATCTTGCAGGATAACAGTGATTTAAATACAGTGCATGATAGAGAACATAAAAAAGAAATGGCAACAAAATTAATAAATTCGGAAAATACTTTTAACATACCACCCGAAAAAATATTAGATATATATAAATCATCCTGTTTCAGATTTAACGTTATAAATGCTTAACAAACTAGAGATACCACACTTATGATATTTGCAAAAAACTATCTGTAATTTATAACTCTATGGTTTGGGTTTAAATTCGGTTAATGTAACACATTATAGTTAATAATTACCAAAATTTGATATTTTTTATAACTAACCTAAAAAAAATACCGATGATCTTACGTTTTGATTTTAGTTGCAGGGGACTGTTTTAAGATTTGTAGGTAAATAATTATTTGCATCTTTGTTAACTCCTCTATAGTAAGTTGAAGAAAGTCTATATTTTTTAAAATTATTTCTTTCTTATACATATAAAGCTGCATTGAGCGGGTAACAATGAAAACTGCAAAACCATCACTTTTTAAACCAGAAATTTTTAAAATTAGACAGGAAAAGCTCAAAAGTAATCTAGACAGGTGAAGCCACGACTTCTGCGTTTTCAAGAGTTCGCAATGTAAATTTTATCTGTTTTTAAAACTTATTTCACTTACTTACAAGAATATATTTATTTTTTAATTTGCTTTTTTTGTTCGTTCTATCTATTATTAAATAACTGATTGGTAGGAGTACCACGTGCGTGAAATTGTAGAAAATTGCTCCACATTTGAATAGGTATAATTTTGTAGGCAAATATAGGAATCATTTGACATTTTTGTTTTTTTCTTTTAACAAATATTTTTTTTTAATTCTTTAACCTTTGCAAAAAATACAGCCACGAATTAAATATACATATGGGTGATTCTACAAAAGTTGGGCAACTTTTGACCTCTTTTGTTTATTTAGTTTTCGGAGAAAATTAAACAGTATTTTGTTATGAGAACATAGATAATACAATAAATATACTGTTCCAGACCGGGCAACTCACTTTTTCAAACAGTTTCTGAAATATCTGTGTTTTCTAAATTTGAATGCAAGGAAAGTGACGAGTATACCAGGGTACTAATTAAATACATAATTTATTGGAAAATATAAGATTTACTGCAACTTTGAGCATATTAAACATTAAATATCTTAAAATCAAATAATACCACACATCGGGGGCGGCTGGTGGATTTTGGGTATACCGATATATCAATTATTAGATATGGGACCCACACCAAATTTATATGAGTTTATAATGACATTAAATAAACAAGTTCTGCGCAAGCAGAATTTAAATTGAAGTTTGCGAAAAAAAGATAACCGAAACATCGAACATGGAACTGACGACACGGTACTGATGAATGGGATACAAATTTGAGATTATAATTCGAAATTAAGTATTTTACTGATATTTTTTATTAGTGGATGCTACTTATCAACAAATCACATATAGCCTTAAATAAATTACAATGAAATATATATATACGTAAGTACTTAACAGTACTGAAATTTGACGTTTAAACTTTAATATTTCGCAGGAATTTTGAATTTTAACATTTGACACCGAACTGACGGGTAAAAGTGGGTACAAAGATTATCAATTTTTTTAAAATTGCTATTATTCGAATCTATGATAAAATATGAAAAATACATTATTTAATGTTTTATAGTTTGTAGTGAAATTGAAAAATTTAAGATAAATTGAATATATTTTAAAATAAAATCACTCAAATATTTGATTCAGGAGTTGTGACACGCCAAGGTACTGATGTTTTGAATATTTATTAGGTTTTTCTACAAACGTGCTTTTGAAAAAATACATTAAAATTGGGTGGATAAGTTAAAAAAACCTGGATTTTTTGTAATATACTAAAATATTTACAAAAAATATTAAAATACCTACTCTATTGACTGATGACATCAACTTCTTTTGTAGAATCACCCATAAACATATAAAAGTTTTCAAATTATGAAAACTTTTATATGTACACAAACTTTTAATCGTGACTAAATTTTTAATGATATTCATTTAAAAGTAAAGTTAAAAAAAATATAAAATTTTCCTGGAAAACTTTATTTCCTAAATAATTAACAAACAGTGCATCCTGCATGCTAAAATTTTAGTGAAATTTAAAAAGTATGCCAAGTTTATTATAACAATTATTCAAACAACCAAAATACAAAAGTAAACTAGAGTTAATAAAGTTTAACACCCCGTAAAGATGAAATTTATCACCAATATTTTCTTAGGATTGTTCAACGAAAATGGGAAAAATAAACCTTTTAAGATCTTAACTTTATTTAATGGATGACATTTATTATTCCACTTACGATAAGGTAAAAATATTATTTTTGACACAAGGATGGTTTAATTTATAAAAGGCATTGCCTATATCCCCCCAAACATACATATAAAGGTATTTTAATTAAAAACTAGCCCTGCAATTGTCTGTGCGTTTTTAAATATTGCATTCTAAAAAAAATAAACAGAAATAGTGTTCGTGTTCACAAAATTTGTACGGTATTGACTTCTCGTATATACAATTTTTTATTTGATTTCAGACGGAACAATTGACAGTATTATGGATCCTATTCATCGTCATTGTGGCCGGAAATTCCGGAGTCATGTATGCCTTGTTGTTCGGTCGACCCCGGAAAAGCCGCATGAACTTTTTTATCACAAATCTCGCTTTTGCAGGTGAGTAAACTTTTAATAAATTTAGATGTCGTCCATATCGTTTATTGTGTTAAATCTTTAAAAGTTTTGTAATCGACCATAAGTTATACGAGGTGTGTTCAGAAAATATCGGGAATTTTCGTTTTTTGAAACAAATATTATTTTTATTATTATATTTATATTTATTCGTCAATACTCGAAACACTTCTAAAACTCGATCTTTGGGATAGCCTTTAGTTCTTTCAGCGATGCGCTTTTAATGTCATCTATGCTTGCAAAACGACGGCCCTTTAAGGTTCTCTTTATTTTTGGGAATAGGAAAAAGTCAGACAGAGGCAATGTCTGGCAAATATGGAGGCTGTGGCATCATTACAGTTTACAGTTTTTGGCCAAAAATGTTCAAAATTTAAAAATTTTAGAACAAATTTTGCTGTCGTTTCATACCCAAAACATTCGAAAAAACTTCATGGGATGAGCCAATCAATATACCAACATCATCAGCGACTTCTCTGATGGTTTATAACCATTTCTTCCACTTTTTTCATGTTTTTATCGGTTGTTAATGTGCTTGTGCGTTCGGGGCGTTCGTCATCTTCAACGTCTTCACGGCCATCTTGGAAACTCTCATACCACTTGTAAACTCTTGTTTTACTTAAAGCAGATTTAATATAGGCCATTGTTAACATTTCACAGAATTTATTTCATTTTTTAAGCAAAATTGGATACAAATTATTTGATCCATTTCTTTTAACGAACGAAAATCGCCGAGCTCATAAAAACACGTCTAACCTTAGCGGCTGCCACAGACAAAGTAAACAATGAAAATAGCTAAAGTTTATATCATACTTCGGGGGCATGTAACCAACATAATAAAGAAAATTTTATGACAACCGGACCCTCTGAAACCGCGAAATTTAACAATTCCCGTTATTTTCTGAACACACTTCGTATAAAACAATTTATTTTTATAATTTTTATTATAAATATCTGAAGATGTGGTGGTAGCACTTTGTGTTGCAGGCGTATTGAGTTTCAATTTAGTTAACTTTTCAAAATACCAGTTTTCTTTAAATGAATATTTCTGTTTTTTTAATGAATTTTATTCATGACATTATTTTCTTAATAATTTTTAAAAAGAAAAGAAACTTATAGGGGTTTTACAAGGTTTACTAGTTTTATAATGGTCATATAAGGTTACCTACTGTAAACTCTAGGTATAAATTAGGTTATAGAATTGTTTCTACAAACATTTTATATAACCTTCAGTAACCGTTACCAGTAGGTTTATAAGGGATAAAAATGTTTATTGGGTGGGCCAAAACTCTTAACTTTTCAAATACCTTGTACAAATCTTTGACACTTTAGTTTTTATTGCCAGGCACACTTGTGTTAACGAATAAAAGGGCTATTTACTAATTTTTAGTACCTTCTTATTTCTTTTTTGTTAAAATTTAATGAAAGTTGAGATATGGCTCTAAATAAGAAAGTCGTATTGCATTTTTTTAACCTCGCTTTGGATTTAATTAAAAAATATTTATTTAATTTAAAAAAATACCATTATTACTTCTAAAGACACTTTTTACGTATACATATTTTTTAATACATAGAATTGAAAATCTTGTTTATCACTCTTAATAAAAGTTTTTGTAAAATTTACTTACGAACTTAAATAATCACAAAAAGTTAGTTAATTAGATTTTAAACAAAGAGTTCAAACATTAATTGTTCACTTTCTTAATTAAGAATTATTAAAACTCTAGCAAATTATTATTAAACAAGGTACCGAAGTGGAATTTAAATTAAAAAAAAAATTACTTTTAAATAATATTTCATAAAGTTATTTATAATATACAGGGTGAGACATTTAACTTGAAACTTTGAAATATCTCAATTAGTAGATATGCATTTTACGAAAAAAATTTTAAAATAAAAATTAAACTTACATACGTGTTTTTTTTTTAAATATTGAATAACCAGAACTTTGTGTTGCTTTATAGCAATCCATAACATCCTTAGTTAATAAAGTAAACAATTTATATATAAATTAATTAATTTTAATCTACTTTTTTTTAAATTTGAGTCATGTCCCAGACATTTTTTCCGTTGCGTTACGTCCGTCGCGTTACCGATAGAATATTTAAAAAACGAATATATGGCAACTTTTTTGGCACTCACGAGATTAACAAATGATGTTCGGACGTACACATTACCCAGCTGAATTAATTTATTCAATCAGGAAGAAGATATCAGTTGAAACAGGTGCGGGTAACGCGAATGTAAAAATTGTTTGTCCGCTAAGTTACTCAAAAAAAATACTAAAAATAAGGTAAAGCTCTAAAGCTCATTGAGAGTAATTAATGACTGTAATGTTTTATTATTATTTTTTAAATATGGTTTCACAAAACTTTGTCAACTGCGTTACCGAGTCCATTAAGTTACCTTATGGTAACGCAATGCAATAGATTACATCCAAGGGAAAACTCCACGCAATATACAAGTACTAAAAGGCACCAGCTTATAGTCAAAGAAAAAGGGTGTCTATAATTTAGAAATCTAAGTTGTTATTCTGCAAGTGAGCCACTACAAGGGATTTTGTTTATGCATTACTCTAAAATCGTACCACCCTATATAGTTTCTTTTTTACGTTATCTGATTAAGTCCTTTGTGTACCCCAGTCCCTTGTGATACCAATGTCTATTTCGTTACTTTTTAGTTTTTCTTCAAAAAAATCCTTAAAATGATTTTACTATCACTTGGTAATACCTGTTTATAAATTAGAGTTTAACTCACTAATACAGTGACTAAAAGAAAATATTAATGGTATTGTTTTTTTAACAAAGAATCGGAATGGTGTCTTTTAAAAAGTAACTTAACTAGGTAACATAAATATTTAAAAAAGGCATACAATTTTTAATAAAAAATAAAATTGGAGTCTAAAGTTTGTGAACTAAGTACATTTTATTTCAAATTATTTTTATAACAACTTTTTTTATTGAATTCAATTTTGGATTTCAAATTGGTAACACAGTGGAGACATGTAAAGCTAGCTAAACACATTTTTCTGAAAAAAACGTAAAAAAAATTAAAAAGTGCACTGCTTGTCTTAAATGTAAGTAACCAAACTCTAAACATTTATAAAAATCCAACCAAAAGTCAATTTAAGCAAAAAAAAATTTGATCTTTATTTTCCTGAAAGCGGGTGTTTCTTGAAAATGACCCAAATACTGCAGTTGCAAAAATGGCGGATGCGCCGGGATTAATGATAAAAACTCACTACAAATTTCAAATTGTTTTTGTTTTGTCCACAGATTTGACAGTTGGACTGATCAACGTATTGACTGATATTGTATGGAGGTTCACTCTAGGTTGGTATGCTGGGAATGTTGCATGCAAGATAGTTAAATTTTTACAGGTTTGTATTTATATTTAGTTTATATTAATTTTTCTAATATATTATGCTGTGTGTTCGAAATAATACCGATTAAAAAGTAAATTAATTTCTATTAATAAAATAATGTATTTTAGGTTTTACTGTGTACTTTGGTAATAAAATAGCACGTGTTTTAAATAGATATTCTTATTAAAATAAATTATAAAGATATAAAATTAAAACAACAAACTGCCGGTAATTTACGATTTTAAATAATATTTATTATGTAATATTTAGAAAAAATTAATGAAAAAAAAAACAATGTAGACAAGGTGTTTCAAAAAAGGTATGGTACTGGTGAAGCCAATTATACTTAATACAGTTTAATTTGAAATAAATCTTTTATAGTTAATTTTCTACTATAACATTTAATTTAATTTAATTTTTCAAACGTCACTGTCAGAAAAATATTTTTTGTCTTCATGAAAATTATTTTGAAAATGCTTTTAATGGATCCATTAACAAATTAAATGTTCGAATTGCTTATATTAGAAAAAAACCCCATTTAGATAGAACATTTAACCCCACATATTTTTAAGGTTAAAATGCTTTAGAAAACGCCACTAACATTTTGTCATTTTAGTGTGTAGTGACATACGCATCGACTTACGTCCTTGTTGCTCTGAGCATCGATAGATACGAAGCCATCAGATACCCCATGAAGTTCTCTGGGAGCTGTAAGTAAAGTTTTTTAATTTTATTTTTTTACTTCCACCTTTCTTACATGTTTCCATGACACTAAGTAATCTTTTAAACACGCATTTACAAGCTGTGGCTTTATGGCGCTTTAGTCACGGGCTGAAGTTAGCAACAGGTTTTTAGCCACGGGCTGAAGTTAGCTTTAAGTTAGTTGACAGTGTCAAATGTCATAAAATTATTAAAATAAAGTGCCTTTCTTGTAGAATAATACTAAATGTGAAAATTATTTTATTATCTCAATACAAAAATACAAAAGTATTAAATATTTGAAAATTTTATATGAACATTGTACTGACCTTTTAATTTCGCAGGCAGTAAACTATAACTTAAATTCGGGCACGGACTCCACTGTAAAGTCCTCATAAAGCATTTTCTTTACTTTCACTGTGAAAAACTGACAATTTTCAAGAAATACATTTCGATTTATAACCTTTATAGTCTGTGTTTATAATATTTAAAAATGTGACATTTGACGGTGACACACAGATTCCCCTATTGTTTCATAGATGGCGCTCTATACAAATTTTTGGTTTAAATCATTTTAAGATGATAATAATTTGTTGTAAAAAAAAGTATAGTATGAACCTCTTTTATAAACTTTTCTATACACTCATTAATTTAAGCACTCGCTCGCAAGCTCGCTCGTGCCTAAATATATTATTTACACATAAAAATTTGAACTTTGAAGTTAGAATGGTTACTCTAGGAACACTACGGTTTGAAAAGTAATGTATATACGTATATACGACTTTTTTTTTTGTTTCAGGGAAAAGAGCAAAATGCCTGATAATAACAGCGTGGCTTTGCAGCGTCTTACTTTCCACGCCTATTCTAATCCTGTTTAAGGAGGAATCAGTTCAGGGTAAGTAGATTCATGGTCTAGACTGTAAAAACTATTAGAGTTTCTTTTATTTTGTTTGTTATTCTCTCTAAAAATTAATTAGTCAAAAATGACTAATTGTCATAGCAAAAAAGCAGCCATTAATAATTCTCGTCAATAGCAATTTGTACCCCGAACATTTAGCAGTCAATTTCCATGTAAAATTATCCCCTGAATCCGAGTTAGAAAAGTAGAACAGTTTTTGAGATATAGTCAATTTTCCTTTTAATATGGAATTGACTATATCTCAAAAACTGCTCTACTTTCATAATTTAATATTGTATGTATTTTCGGATTCAGGGGACAATTTTTCATTTTTGACTGAACTGAACTAGTCATTTTTGACTAATTTTATTTTAGAGAGTTGATAATATAAATTTTATTTGACTATCCCATCATTTGTTGAAAATAAAATTAAAATGTCACCCGAGCGAGCGTTTTTTATTTTTTTTACGTTACACCTGAAAGGTGGAAACTTTCCATTGGACCACCCTGTATAGGGCGATTGCACGCGCAATGTAATTTTTTCCATCAGTTTTAAGCAGGGCACAATGAAACAAAAATATACTAAAGTTAATCATTAATGGTGAAATTAGTTGAAAAAACTAAAAATGTTTATCTCAGGTACTTATTATTTAAAAAAAATATGGTCAAAAATAAGCAATTTTCCGATGTTAAAATTTATATGCAAAGTAGCATTTTAATCAAGGTGGCTTTGACCTATAACAGTAAGTGACGCTTACGAAAACGTCCGTTTTGATTAGACGCCACTATTAGTGAACATATAACTGAATATTTTTTTTGCAAGTAGGTAAACTGTTCTAGAAATTTAAATTTATAATATTATTGTATATATATATGTCCCATCAGTAACGAAATTATATGATAAGTTTTAATATCGCAAGTATGCAACTTGCCCAGTTTTTAATTAATATTAAAAATGTTTGTCCCTATTTCACATTTGCTTACGCGATAAAAATATATTGGTTTGCTGTCCCAGATTTTTGTATTTCTTTTTTTTAAAGTTGGTCCCGTCAGTAACGAAATGTGATAATTTTTAGGATGGCAAAAAAAAACGTGCTTGACAAAGAAAATACGAAGCGGCGGGTTAAAAAATATCGCAAAAAAATTTATGAAAATCCTGTTTTAAAAAAGACTTACCTGTCTAAAAATGCTTCAAGCGCAAAAAAGTACAGAGAAAAATTAAAAAAGTTGGCGGAAAATGATGGTGGGTTTAAAATGCAGCAAAAAATTAATGAAAGAGAAAGGAAAAGAAAGTTTAGAGAAAATAAAAAGCAGCAAACAAAAAAAACAAAAAAATTTGAATACCTGATATATTAAGTTCACACTATTTTAAGTTTGTTGATGGTACTCATATGTTGATTAAGAAGCAATATGAATCCGAAAAATCAAATTTGTTCAAATGCTTTTAAATTTTTTGCAGTTGTTATTATCATGTTAAAATTATTTTTGAAGTTATTTAGTAAAATTAGCCAATTACAAATTTCTTTCAGTGTATAATAAATAATAATAATAAATGTCCCATCAGTAATGTCCCGTCAGTAACGAGAAATCAAAATGCATTGCCTACATAGATTACACTGAAAGATGAGTGATGTCAAAATAAGTTATACTAACTGCATCTGCAACTTGGTTCATCTATACTTTTCTTCAACATTATTCTGTTTCAGAGAATTATTCTCTTCTAGTAACCAGAAATTTTTATGACCTTTTTCTTGTCCCATCAGTAACAACATTTTATTGATTTCTAGTTCGTAAAATAAAAAACATTTTAATAGCTCTGATACTGAAAATTTTACACAAACTATAGCTTTAATAGTTACCCAAATATTACCGTCATTAGCCCATTACTGATAGCAACAAATATCAAAAAATAGTTAAATTTTTTTCCGATTGTCCCATCAGTAACGCGTGCAATCGCCCTATATAGGAATATGTAACTCATTTTAATTAGGTACTTTTCAATACTTACTTAAAATGAATTAGTCAAAAATGACTTATTCTAATAGCGAAAAAGCAGCCACTTATTGTTTTGTTTTAAGTTGAAATTTATGAAATTTTATAAATTCTATTAAAATCGGAGAAAAATTGTTCTCGAAACAGTTAAAAATATGGTTTTTTATGGGACTAACTTTATAAATATGTATCTTTGATTTGTTCACTTAGGACAAATTTGAGAAATGTACGTCAATCAAAAATAGCCTATAACTTTTTTGTTATTAGGTTTGCGAATAGGGGGGATAGCAGTCAATAGGCAGTCAATAGCATTTATTAGATAAAAGTTTAAAGATTAAAGTTTAGCACTTAAGTTATGTTTAAACACAAATTTATAAAGTTAAATTTTTTTAAACTCAAAACAATTGATAGTCAAAAAATATTTTAAATATAAAATGCAACAGTAAACATTTATGTTTTGAAGAATAAAATATAAAAATTCAATTTTTTTGTATTAATATTCTTAAACTTAAACTTTTACAGTTGCATTTTATATTTAAAATATTTTTTGATTATCAATAGATTTGAGTTTACAAAAACTTTACCAAATTAATCTCAATAATTTTATTAAATATTTAATTAACTTAACAAAATGCCACCCAAATAAATTATACTTGGGAAATTATTTTTATTAAAAAATGATAGTTAAAATTTTTTGCAAAAATTGATAGAAAATAATATTGTTTAATACAGTTGGTTAGTAAATTTTCTTTCAATACATGATATGTAGTTGAAAAGTTTTTAAATTTATAAATGTAAAATTTTTAATTTGGAAAATTTTAAAGCAATAAAATTTTAAATTAAAAAATTATTTAATAAATGTTAAAACGGCGTCAATGACTTATGAAAAACATTGACAAGCCAAACATTTTTAAATTTAAAAAGTAATACAACAGTATTTTCTAATTTTGAGAAAAAAAACAACAAATCTGTAGGATGTCAACTAGATGAAGCACTAGCTCATTGAAGACAATAAAATATAAAATTTATTTTATAAAATATTTTAATAACAAAAAAAATTAATTGATTTTTACATATTTTAAGGAATATTATAAATTTTAAAAATGTTGAACTTTTTTTAAATTGTTCCAATTTGTCCTACCATTATTTTAATTTTCAGTTTTTAATTTTACTAAAAATTAGATTAGGTGTGTATTTAATTAACTGAACTTTTTTTCGTATGCTGTTGGTTAAACTTGACTATAAAATATGATTTATCAGTCTATTTAAAAATTCTTATCATGTTTCGTTTGTAAGATCTTTAGTAAAATAAATCAAATTTCACGCCAGAAAAAACTCTGAAAATGAATAATTTTCATTTGTTAATCCAATTTACTTAAAGAAAAAATGTCTTTTACAATTAGATGTATTATGACTTGATTTCATTAAATATTTCTTGCCTACTTACCTTAAACAAAGCATGGGAAGACGGAAAATGCAGTAAAATGTCCTAGTTTGACCAGCGGCGTGCGATAAAAATATATGGGTGAATATATTGAGATGTCCCCCAAGTGAAAATGATTATTTTTTATTTTTGGTTGTTTCACTGTTATTCCAGAATGGGGTTTTGGGAAGCCACCAGGTCTAGTAATAACATAACATAAGTGGTTCTGCACTTATGCAAGCATTTTAAGAAATCATACATTTTGAATACTAGAGCTTCACGGAGGTTAGGATTTCGTATGTTTTTTTAATTATACCTTTGTATATTTGAAATAAGTTATTGTATCTTTTGACACCTAAATATTTATAAAAAAATCTACTTACTGAGACATTACATTTCACGGTGGATAGGTTTTTAAATAGCAAATTAATGAAATTAAACTTTTGAATTATAAAACAGTAACACTCTAACTGACCTTGAGGAATCACATGCATCTATAATGTCGTAAACAGAGGTTTTTGCTTATTTAAAATTATTAGAGCTCCATCCGTGGCATAAAATTTAAAGCAAAAACAGATTCACGGAGGATATAATCAATTTTTGTAACACCTACCTAAACGGTTATAAAAAATATTTTTTTTAATTTTTAATAATATTTTATATTTGATTCGATTGCTTTGGATGTGTTTAATTTACTTAGTGAACTGATATTTTCAGTATGATTTTACTACCTCAGATATTTGAAAACATATAGGTTAACCCGTAACCGGTACGGTACGACTTTCAGGTCATAAACGGTACTAAGGGGTCTGAGAGACACCTGCCTTTTAAAATTATAATTTATATTATTTTTTTTATCTGAGGCTTTGGGGATACTAGGAACTATATATAAAGTTAGAATATCACCAAAAATAATACCTAAATAAAAGAAAAATTTAAACAAATTGGTTTTAATCAAAACGTGTACAAAAAGTGCAGTAGTGCAAACTTTGTGATTAAACTATAAAAAATATTAAACCAAACAAAATAAAACGATCTTTATTTTGAAGAATATACCTTAAAAAATAACATAAACAAAAAAAATTCAAATATATCTTTTTTAACAGCAAAAATAACTGCTTCAAACTATAGCTGATTTTTACAATTATTTTTTTTTATAGTAACTTTTTTGTTTTTTTCAAATTATTAAAAAATTTCAAATTCTTCTCTATCTGACCCTATAAAATTATTTTCTATAGACTCTTCACAGACAAGTCCTGAATCGCTGGTGATTATCTTCAACGACACAATCACTATAATGGTTATGTAGTATACTACAGTCATCACTTATATCGCTGTCGATTTCATAAAACCACTACATTACAGTTTCCTTGAAGCCTTTCTTATCACTTTGGACACTTTTAGAAAGCCCTTGTTGCGAATCCATAAGGAAATAATTGTTTTATAAAAATTACGTAAACGGTACTCAGTGGTCTACTAGACACCTCAACACTTTGACTCGTAATAATTTGTCCGTTTGACAATCCAACTTGTTCAAAGTCTGAGAGCATATTAATAACTGCTCAACAAAAGTATTGGAAGCGACAGATTTTTAAAACAAAAGGTGAGGGTGTGACAGCGCTTTGTTCGTTGATGAGTGTCTCCCAGACACCACAGTACCGGTTACGGGTTAACCTAGAGCTGGAACCTGAGCTGTAATATCTACTTAATTATGAAGGATCAAAACACAATAAAAGTGTAGGTCAAACTCATTTAGTTTTATTAAATATCACGGGGTAACACGTGAGATTCACCCATATTGAACATTTAAAAAAAAAATTATAGAATTTTTTTTCAGGCGAAATGCAATGTTGGATAAATTTGGATGCTCAATGGAAATGGCAGTTGTACGTGACCCTTGTTAGCGTATCGGTGTTCATCATCCCTGCTTGCATAATCACAGCATGCTACGCGATCATTATTATAACAATTTGGACCAAAAGCAACAACGATGCCTTTCATAGGGCGAAAAAAAACACGCCTGGCGGACGTTGCATGGGTATGTACGAATTTAAACTCTTCAGAACAGAGCCCCAGTAGCACAAAAAATTGGTCCTATATCTCTGATAGCAAAATTTGATTTTAAGAATCTTCTAAGAAGATATGACCCAGAATAATGGAATATTCTTAGAACCTTCCCTTATTGCTAAGAATGTTCTTGGGGACTTTTAAAACATTCAATAGATACCCTTTTAATGATGCAATTAGATTCTTAAAAGCTTCTTAAAACCTTCCTAAAAAGCATCCTAAGAACATTTTAAGAATACGTTTTCTAGGAAGCTTTTGAGAATATTTCCAAATATGTCAGATGAATCTAGGAAATAATACCCCTGGAAAAAAAACCACGGAAAAAAAACCCCCGGAAAAAAAACCCCCGGAAAAAAACCCCTAGGAAAAAAAACCCCTAGGAAAAAAAACCCAAGGAAAAAAAAGCCAAAAAATAAATCCCGGTTTGACGAGTGTCACATAAAAAATGCAAAAATTGTAAAAATACCGCAAAAATGAGCGAAACCAACCCAAATCAACCCAAACTCAACAACACAACCCTACCGACCCCGCCCCATTGGCCCCCCCCCGCCCCATTGAGTAAAAATCCCCGAAATTGGCAAAAATAAAAAAAAATTGCAAAAATCAATGCCCAAAAATGCTAAAAATTGTAAAAAAAATTGTAAAAAAATTCTAAAAAAGTTAAAAAAATATATAAAAAAATTGTTAAAAAATTCCGAAAAAAATTGTAAGGGGGTATTTTTTCCTGTAGGTTTATTTTCCTAGGGGTTTTTTTTTCGGGGGTTTTTTTTCCGGGGGTTTTTTTTCCATGGTTTTTTTTCCAGGGGCTTTTTTTCCGTTTACCATGTCAGATACCCACGTTCTAATATGTTGTATTCTACATTCGTAAAATTCTTCAGGAGGCGACAAATACGCCTCACTGTCATAATATGACAGTGAAATGTATTTGTCATAGAAAAACCATGGTTTCTCTTTGGTATTTGTCGTCCCCTTAAATTTTGCGACATATTAATATATATTTATTTAAAAATATTAAATAAACAATATTACCTCTAAACCATAAGTTTTATGACATTATTTCATAAAAAGTAAAATTTAAAAATTTTGTGGGATAAGTCAGATTAGATTGAAGTTGAAGATAGTTAGGATTATTATACATAAAAATGTTAATTCAGAAATAAAAAATCGGTATACAAATTTATTAATATTTATTTTTAACATAAAATAAAATACCTATAGTAAAAGGGTCATTCCACGTTACTCGGGGATTTTTGTCCCGCCCGTCACAATTAAAAATTGTGAGTAAAAACTACACGTTATAAAATTTATTTAAAAATATTGTTTTATTATGCTTTTAATAAGTTATAAGCACAATAAAAATAATATTATAAAATATTAATTTTTTAACTTGTGGTTTTTACTCACAATTTTGAATTGTGACGGGCGGGACAAAAATTACCGAGTAACGTGGAATGCCCCAAAAGTATTTTTGTTATCGAATATTGTTTTAATTTGACAAATTACTATAAAAAAATATGTTGGATTGTGTTTTTTACTTAGTATTTAATACTAATTACTAATTAGGTACTTAGTATATGCGTAGTTTATGGTATATTTTACTATTGGGTCATTCCACGTTACTCGGGGATTTTTGTCCCACCCGTCACAATTAAAAATTGTGAGTAAAAACTACAAGTTATAAAATTTATTTAAAAATATTGTTTTATTATGCTTTTAATAAGTTATAAGCACAATAAAAATAATATTATAAAATATTAATTTTATAACTTGTGGTTTTTACTCACAATTTTTAATTGTGACGGGCGGGACAAAAATTACCGAGTAACGTGGAATGCCCCTATTATATAGGTAACTGAACTAAATATGCTTAGCAGGAATATTCCTAAATGCATATGTTTAGATTAGACTAATTTTTACCATTAAAACTTTGCACCTTCTAAGAACCTGCCTATAGACCAGTAAGAATATTCTTAGGATCATGCTATATATATAGCATGATCCTAAGAATATGTCTTTTAAGCATGTTCTTTAGAAGAAATATAGCATGATCCTAAGAATATTCTTACTGGAAAGTTTAAAAAACATTCTTAGAACATGCCTAGAAAAAATATAGCATGATCCTAAGAATATTCCCACTGGAAGGTTTAAAAATTCAGTACAATAAAATTCCAATTAGTCATCCAAATTTTGGGTCAGGAAAAACCAGTGGCGGCTCAAAATTACCACTTTTCTTATAAAAATTTTATTGATTTTTTTATAAAAAAAAATGGCACATGCAAAAATTATTAATTTATAAGAAGTATAAATTTATTAATACTATAGTTTCTCACAATTTTTTTTTTAGGCATTGACGACTCCAAAAGGGCCAGCTCACGTGGACTATTTCCGCGCGCGAAAATAAAAACAATAAAAATTACGTTTGTCATTGTAAGCGGTAAGTAACAGCAAAAAAAAATATTTTTTTTTTTTGAATATTAACACTTTTTCTAGTTTTTATATTATGCTGGAGCCCCTATATAGTCCACGATCTGCTACAGGTGTTTGACGTCATAAAACAAACTCAAACAAACATTGCCATAGCTACTTTTATACAGAGTTTGGCACCCTTGAATTCAGCGGCCAATCCCATCATATACTGCATATTTTCGACACATTTTTGCAGAAAACTTAGGTAAGTATTAGACTGGGCCAAAAAAATCGACTATTTTTTTTTGAAAGTATTGTTTGGGGTGACAAAAAAAAATTATGGTGAAAGTTTGAGTCCATAATATTATAATTAAGAGGTCTATCATCGCAATTTTAGATTTGTTTTCCTGAGCGAAATTTGTCTCAGAACTCCCAAATCATTGAGTTTAACAAAATTGACTTGGGAATATTTTTTTAAGAAAATTGAATGATCTATTAAAAAGGTTAAAATGAAATTTTCCGTCAGATGAACCATTTCCTTAAAATCATGCCTTAAAAATTGGTATAGTTTTACATTTTAATCTTTTAACTTTGGAATTTTGTAATTCATGTAAAAAACAGTACCCTGAAAAAAAACGATAAACATTCTTATGGGAAATCAAATGCTCTACAAAAAAAGTCTTTTATCATTTTTGGCTAAATTCACCCCATCAAAAGTTATTCAAGGTTAAATTTGAAGTCAAAACGAAATTTTAACCTTGAATAACTTTTGATTGAGTGAATTTAGCCAAAAATGTTAAGAGGCTTTTTTTGTAAAGCATTTGATTTCCCATAAGAATATTTATCGGTTTTTATGGGTACTGATTTTTACATGAATTACAAAATTCCAATTTAAAAGATCAAAATGTAAAACTATACCAATTTTTAAGGCATGATTTTAAGGAAACGGTTCATCTGACGGAAAATTTCACTTTAACCTTTTTTGTAGAGCATTTAATTTTCTTTAAAAATATTTTTAAGTCAATTTTGTTAAACTCAATGGTTTGGGAGTTCTGAGCCTAAAACTTGCTGAGGAAAAAAAAATTAAAATTGCGATGATAGACCTCTTAATAATAATATTATGGACTCAAACTTTCACAATAATTTTTTTTGTCACCCCAAACCATATTTTCGATATACTTTTCAAAAAAAAAATAGTTGATATTTTGGACCAGTCTAGTAAGTATACCGTTATAAAACCGTTTTGGTTAAATCAATTTTTTGCAGGATGATACCTCCGTTCAAGTGGATTTGCGGCCGTAAAAGTCGTTCCTTGGACTACACAGAAACAACCAAAAGCAGCAGTATTTCAGAGTTTCTGACGAATTCGACGCATCACAAAAAAAGATCAGAAAATATTTGTCTATCAACAACCCATTCAGTATTATTGCATTAGGCGAAAAATCAGTGTCGTCAACTATGAATCTAGTCCTTAAGGTTGTAGTCTAGGAAAATTAGTCATGAATTTGTTTTTTTTGCAAATATCTCGAAAGCTTTCAATTTTTCGACAATAAACATAGGGTAATAAATTGTAGACCATTTCAAAAACTACAATTCATTACGAAACATATATTGCCGAAAAGTCCAGCGTTATCGAGATATTTGCCAAAAACCGCGACCTTTCTATCGATGTAAAACATGCCAAATTTTCCCAGACTTTTATTTATAAATGTATTTATTTTTAATATAGGAAACCACTTATTAAATGTGAACAAGATGTATTTATTTTGTATGTATAATAAATAAACTTTAAACTGTCTAAAATTCTTTGAAGGGATAGTAGGTAGGTATTTAGTTTCCAAATTAATTGAACCCCAATCTAATGCACTTACAAACCTCTTTTGCTGTACTGAAGTCTCAAGTGGTTTTTACCCTTTTTGCTATTCGAAATTTAATCTTCTACTTAAGTGCATTTTTACTTTTGTATGTAGGTATTTGATTTTATGTTAGGGTGAGCAAGTTAACTCTTCAAGAATCAATGTCTTTTGTCTAGCTAAAGTGGACATTCTTAATAGAGTGATATGATAAGCAATATTTTAGTAATTCACTTTTACAATATTTAGGTATTACTTGTGGCACTAACCTTTTGATAAAATCCATTTCGTATTTTCCCCAAACAAATAAAAACACTTAATACATGTTTAAACTTGACTGTCAACTAGCTTAACAACAGCAGCGACATCTATACCAAAATCACCAAACTTCTATCCTGTCGAACGCGCAATGTGGATTGTGGTCAAACGTTCTACTTTACCGACTGGCGGAACTTTGACAGTCGTCAGTATGAAAATAAACGAGAAAAACCTCTCTACTTTCGCCGTTTCGGCGACTCCGGTCGACAAAGAGGGTTATTTGTACAAAAAGGGGGAAGTAAACAAGAATTTCGTGAAGAGGTACTTTGTTTTGAAGGGCAATTTGTTGTTTTATTTCGAGAAAAAGGGCGAAAAGGAGCCTGTGGGCGTAATAATCCTAGAAGGCTGTACAATAGGTGAGTTTTCGTTTATTTATCAATACATTCTTTAAGTGTGGTGTTGTAGAATTGGCTGAGGATGAGGAGCAGTTTAGTTTTAAAGTCGACTTTCATGGTACGAACAACCGAAGCTATTTCCTGGCTGCTGAGTCCCAGGAATCCATGGAGCAATGGATGAAGGCCTTGGCCTGCGCCGGCTACGATTACATGAAGCTCATGGTGTCCGAATTGCAGAGGCAACTTGACGACATTGAAGGTATTTATGGCGTTTGTTTACACGTTTTTTTGTGTCAGTTTTTATCTTATCAATTGTGATAATTCTTTTGGATGACTGAACATGAGTTTGACGGAAATCGAGAGTTACGAGGTGGGTTTGAGCACGTTTTATGTTGCAGACACGCCTCTACCAGTGACGCAGGCTGCCAATTCACCTGTGCCACCCCCGAGGAGGCACAATCCGTTTAATAAAGTCGATAACAGCAATCCACATCAGCGGTCTCAAAGCGTGAGATCTACAGGTATGTACTTTAATTAGAGAATTATAAAATTGAAAAATACTTGAGAGTGTATTCAAATATTAAAAATAAAAAAAAATCCTATAAATGTTGATAAGTTTGGTTAAAATCACAAAATTATCAACTAATGCATTAAATTGGGAAAAGTGAGGTTAAACCCGACTGAGAGATGTCATCATAATATTCTATTTTTAGGCAGAATAGATGACTGTAAAATAGTGGATTCCAAAACGAGTATATCCTTCAAAGAACTACATAACTGGTATGGACGGCCAATTCTAAAAGATTTCAATATTTGGAAACACCAACAAAAAGATCAAAACCCTGAAGTAAACCTAATTTCATTTTAGAACGTTGCAATATTGTATTTTTAGGTAATTTATTGAATTTAAATAGGTATTGACTGAATAAAAATAGTTTTCTATTTAACCTGCATATTATTTTTACTTTAATAACCTTAAATATGATTTGACCTTGAGGATTTAACACAGAATAATCTCACTCTACTAGATGGCCTTGAACATCTGTCAACTTCACTTGTTTTATCGGCAGCGTTGCCATTTATTGTATTTGAAATAAAATACGTTTTTGTTAAACTATTTATTAATTAATTTACAAAATACAACTTATGAGTCGGGTATGGAACCTGGTTGGTAATGTCCACCATATTTCCCCTTATATTTCAAGCCAGTTACAATGGTGGAACTCTTATTAAATGCAGTTTGTCCATTGAAAAAGGTGTCGGTTTCTGAAAGAAAATAGATTAAAAAATAATTCGCATAATTTTAAAATTCTAAATTACCCGGGTTGAATCTGTGATACTCGAATTGCACATGCAAATTTTCGGGTAGGTCCATATTTTGTAGTTTGTCCAGAGGGGTCCTAACATCAACAGATGTGGAGTAGAATTTTTTTACATCCCCCAGCGTTTCAATGGAATGTAGGAGAGAATTGGGTATGCTATGCTTGAATTCATTATTACAAGCCGTAAAAAGTTTAAATCTTTGATTTAAGTCGGAAATTTTTTCGTCATCTTTGGAATTTCCCAGAATTTTTGAAGAAATTGCGTTTAATTTTACTTCTAAGTCTTCTGGTGGAGAATATTCTATTTGGCTTCTCAGGAAACTAAATGAAAATAAAAAGAATATGTATTCTGAAGACAGTATAACGGATATGATATATCCAGCTAATAAACATTTTAAATGTCTAGCTAAAATTTACATTTTTAAGTTAACAGTTAACTGTCTTAAATTATAAATTTGAGCTAGATATAAGTGTCATAAAAAAATTAAAATTTGAGCTGGATATACCTAACTGTCCTAAAAATGTAAATTTGAGCTTGATGTAAATGTCTTAAGAATGTCAACTTAAACATATTAATTTGAGCTAGGTATAACTCTCTTAAAAATGTAAATTTGAGCTTGATGTAAATGTCTTAAGAATGTCAACTTAAACATATTAATTTGAGCTAGGTATAACTCTCTTAAAAATGTAACTTTGAGTTGGATAAAATTTTATCAAGAATATAAACTTAGCTAGATGTGACAATCTTAAAAATGTAAATTTAAGCTAGATAAAAGTCTTTAAAAAATAAATTTTAGCTAGATAAAATGTCTTAAAAATGTAAATTTGGGCTAGATATAGTTATTTCCAGCTCAAATTTACATTTTTAAGTTAACAGTTAACTGTTTTAAAATTGTAAATTTGAGCTAGATTTAAATGTCTTAAGAATGCCAATTTAAGCTAAAAACAAGTCTTAAAATATTAGCAAGATATAACTGCATTAAAAAAGTAAATTCGAGCTAGATATAACTGTCCTAAATTGAAAATTTGAGCTAGATATAATTATATCTATATTTACAATTTAAGACAGTTAATTCACCCCATCAAAAGTTATATTGTAAATTTGAGCTAGATAGTACTGTCTTAAAATTGTAAATTTAAGCTTTAATAGCTGTCATAAAAATGTAAATTTGAGCTAGAATAACTGTCTCAAAAAATTAACATAATTATGGCTTGATTTAGCAAATAAACTGTCTTAAGAATGAAAGATACCGACGGTTTTGGGCATATAATTTTTTTGCTCCATTTGTCAAATATATTATTTTTGTAATACAAAATCATTTCTTCGGTTTCTAATAATAAAATAAAAAAATTAAAACAAAAAAAACTACCTTTATAACTTTAGAAATCGACTGATCTGTTTAAAGTGTATAAAAATCATTTTTGCTGTTATAATTTAAGGGCTGCGGAAGTTTTGTACGAAATTCGAGGTATTAGAATTCAAAATAAAGCGCAAATACGTGAATATTGCATTAGAACCGTTTCGATTTTCGTAATTCACGCGCAGTATCGGAGTTATTGACTCTGCATGGTGGCGCCCTCTGGCGAGCGAACCGCACAGACCAGGAGAAACCAAGGATGGCTCCCCCTTAAAAGACGCAGTTGTTCAATGTGAACTTAGGAGAGGTACACACCCTTTTGCGGCCAAAGATTTCGCCGAAGAATCTATTTTCGGGCCCACTTTTCTATCGACACCTTTCCTCTTCTCCGCTTTGGTGGCGTAACATCTTGGCAACACCTAAAACAAAAACCGATCGAGTGAGTTTTGTGATTCCGAACGAAGCAAGCAACTTGTGTTCTAGTGGTGACAATTATTGAAAGGGTTGATGTTTGGTTCGTGGTGGTGAACAATGTGGACAGTTTAAAGTGTAATATTTACGTTTTTTGGTGATAGAAGTTGGGATGTTTTGAAACCGCCATGCCTCACGAACGCCGCCATGGTTCTCGACTAAATAAGCAGTGTTGCCGGAGATATTTTTAAAAATTTACTTCGAACGTCAGTGAAAAATGTACGAAATTCCTAGTTTTTGTATCAGGACATAGAAAACAGTGATTGCGTCGAACAGCTTTTATCTTCAAAAATGCGCGTTTCAAGATTTTTTAGGTCAAAAACGTACCAGATTGTGACAATTGTTCCGGCGCCGGCAACGCTGTAGACAAGTGCGCGCGCCTATCAAAGACATACGGTTGGTGGTCTTCGCGCGTCCGACGCGTCAGTGCGGCGCTATAACGTAAGTGCAAGCTCGCACCGTGTAATGTCGAACTGCACAGACTATACTCTGCTGCGACTAGTCTTGGTTTTCTCCCGATTGGAAGCGCTGAATTTAGTGTGGCTTGTTGTTTCCTATCCGCCATTTTACAGTTGCTATTGAAAGGTGAAATTTTCGGTATTTGTTGGCGTTATCGGTGCGGTTTTAAGTTAAAAGTGACGTGCAGTGCATGTTTTCAGTGTTGTGAACCCAAATCTTTTATAATGGATCAGGCATGACGCACCCAAATTTTCAAACTAACGGAGCCAGTTTAGAAGATTGCCACACTAACTTCTTTGCTTTGGTAAGTTGCTATATTTTACTCAACAACACGTACTCTACTACCTTCTACGTACTAGGTAGAAAAGTATGTCACAGCAATTAGTTTTTAAAACGTTTGCACTACTGTTTATCTTTTACCACCAATCTTTTGAATGTCCACATATATTCAACAATAATAATAATAATTATTATAAGCCTAGTGGGTAAACAAGACTTTGTTGTAACAGATGTGATTTATTGCATCTTAGTTGCATTTATACTGTGTAGTCAACACTGAATGTTTCCCCTTTTTAACATTTCATTTTCTATTTATCAGATGAGTTGTTATAAAAGAAGAAGAAAGCCCAGTGTTAAACAGAAGATAAAAGCAACAAAGATGCAATAAAACACAATTGTGCTGCCACAAACTTGTGTTTACTTGATTAAACTTAATGACCGATAAGAAATTTATTACAAAAGCAATATTATGACCAAAATTACCCAAATTACCAAATTACCGAATAATTTCCAAATGTTCGCAGTATTTGGGGAAATTTGCCGTGCATTTTCTAATGGAATTTCAATACCTAGAAAACCTTTTACAACATTGCGGCTGTTCGATCTCGTGTGAACGAACGCATAGTCCGGCTAAGCGACGTTGCCGGCTCGTGCAGGTAACGGTCTCGATGTTTCTCTTCCATGGATATCTAGATCGCACGCTTGTTCTGCGTTTTCTAAGCCTGCTAGACCTGTATTTTATGTTCAACGACCTTGCGGGATTGAAGCGCTCGTATTTTCTAATTTTGTTTATTAAAACTGAAATCTACGTGTTTACGATTTACTTGAGCTACAAAGCGACGCGATTTCGTTTATCGCCGGATAAATTCGAAGCAGCGTTACGCGAACGAAAACAAACTTTTTTCCGGCGAAAATCCGCAATTGACATTGACGTATGCGGGCCGGGCGGGGCGGCAACGTCGCGCGATCGCGGCTGGTGACAGGAGCGTACAGTCCGAAACAAAAGCGCAGCTGATTTGTCGACGAAAGCGGCAGGCCTACTTACAAAATATGTGGTAGTTGAGAATCAGAGATATCTCTGTTGAGAATGCGGCTACTTATAAATATTAGTTCCTAAGAAAATAGGGTTTAGGTCATGATTTGTGCGCTCCAAATGTACAGTATTTGAATAATGCACAGGTAGATTTCTACCTGGGTACAAATGTATTTTTTAATGCCGACGTCGTCAGTTAAAAACAAAAATATTTACTTTTACCAAGGATGTTAAATAAAATGCGAAACTAAAAAGATCTTGCACTAATAATAATAGTGATAAGACCAAGGCCGTTAACGTTAACCTTTTGCCACTTAATCGTTTAGTACACTAGCAGCCCAATGTAACATAATAAGTTTAAAGAATGTCAAAGCCTAGACAGTGGTAGTGGTTAAATTGACGTACAGATAAGCCTGAGGTCATTTTTAGAGTCATTAATCCACTGTTTTTTGTTTTTATAATCAAGACTTAACCTACTTAAATAACTTAACGAAAACAGCAAATATAACATCGCTTTGCCAATTTTCAAACCTTATTGCAGAAACTCGATTAACTCAATCAAGAAATCGATTAATAATTTAATTACAACACTTTTACTTGTTTAAACACGATTAATTTTTTTCGATGTTTTTATGTTGGTTTGATCTTTGACATTCTAAGCGTTTGAGAAAAAACAAAACAGGATCACCCACCAGCGAACATATATGCATGTTGGGCCGTCTTTAACGTCGCAACGTTGCCAAACTTACACTCATTTAGATTTACTTGTTTTAGTAGAAATATTTTCGTAAAATCTGACGTGCCGACTTGGCAACGCTGTTTCCGTCGAATCCCTATAATCAGTAGGACAAATATTATGTAATCCTTATCCATGCTAAATGGCTATTAGGGCATAATATCAGTAATTATATGCCTATCTCTCTTGGAGATAGATTTAATTCGTGATTAAGCTGTTAATTTGGTTAAAGGCAATTGAGAAGACAAATATTGTCCATTCATATGATAAATGTCAAATCTGTAATTTGCATATCGTCGTTTATCTGACAAAGAGGCGTAACTCAAAAAAAATCGTTTTTGAGTTATACCAGAATGATCACCAAAATCGACTTTATAATCTCACAAACTGGCGTAGCTCTATAATAAATAGGTACAAATAAAGTTTTAGCATAAATCAGTTTCGGCGTAACTAATATTTTTGCATTTTGTGTGCCGTACAAACTGGCGTAATTCAATTCACACCGTTTTGTTTAAAAATGAGATACGCCTCTTTGTCAGATAAACGACGATATGTTCTTTATTATCCTTATTTTATTTAATTAAATTAAATTAGTTTTTCGAATAGTAATTTTAGAATCTTACCTACCATATTTCGTAAAATTCTTAAAACCATATTAAGACGTTTCTAACTTTTGACAAATCGACTTGACGTACATCATTTCCGGCCACAACGGCCTTGAAACCAAACTTTTAAATCACGGCCAGCCTTAGATATGACAACACCGCACTCACGCACTGACTTAGTTTCGGAAGGAGCAAGGGGTGACTTTTTTGGGGGGTGGGGATGGGACGCGTGCGGCAAGGGGTGTGCCTTGGTGGGGTGATTTATTTTAATAAATTTAGAGGGTGACCCGAGTGTTTGAGAGCAGGTAAATGAAATGCCACTTGGTTGTTTGTGGAAAGTATAATATTGTATTTCGGGATTATTTAGGTAGTCGGTGTTAACAAATGTTATAAAATTCTGGTAAAAGGGAAACAAGGGTCAAGTGATGGTCAATGTCAATGACATTTTTTTTTGAAATAAAAACGATTTTGCAATTTTTCTGTATGTAAGGAAATATTGTTTTCTTAAATAAATTCTGCATAACTCATTAAATAAAATCCATAAAAAATAAAGCCACTTTCTTCTATTGTCCAAGAAAGTACGAATGTCCGATGAAAAGTCGCAAAAACTAAGGTTGTTCGATGAAAAACTCTTATATCATCCGTATCGGGCGAAAATTAATTACATCTAATTCACTCAGGCAATCCTTTCAGCTTTAACGACCAAAAGTACTTAACGTAAAGCAAGAGCAGCTAATCCGTTACGCAAATAAAAACTCGGTTCGATATTGGCGGGCTCGAATTACTACGGCACACGGCACTACAATATCGGAAAATAATGAATGAAATGTCGGTGGTGCGGCTACGTCACGAGCGCGCAGCCAATCGCAGGAGGGAACCGTCCGTGGGTGGGCGTGGCTAAAAGGCACCGACTAGATTTTGCTGTAATAATTACTGGTTACTTTTTCACGATACAAAAGGATCAAGATATCTGACAAATGCATTTAATTTTATAATTGTGTATCTCGTGGTTTTACAATAGGTACGTTAAAGTCGACTGGTTGTGTTGTTACAAGATTTTACATGATGTCGCTTTGTAACACATGTTAACAATGTTCTACAGCAAGAGCAGTTAAAGAGAAGTTGTTTTACCTAATGGCAAAATTAAGGTTTTGTGTTTCTTAAGTTGGATTTGATTTGAACATTCAGTCACGAATTTTAAGTAGGCTCGAGCGAGTGTTTAATTAAATGAGTGTCTATAAGTTGCATACCTACTAAACTTTTTCTACGACAAATAGGTACTTAATATTATCTAAAAAATTATTTCAATTAAATATTTTTAAAAAATTTGACGTAATTTTCACCATTAACTTAACAACTTAACATTTTTTGATACCTACTTTAAAATATTAAAATAACTTCAAAATATGATTACCTTTGATTTTTTTTATTACTACTTTATTATTATTACTACTAAATAGGTATACGTACTAACAATCGATATAGAAGCAGTTTTTCGCAGTAAAAGAGAAGAGAATGTTTTATGGGCACTGTATAGTATAATCTTTTCAAATATTGGCGTCTAGAAACTATTGAATTGTTTTGTATTTTTCGAGGTATTTCTGTATTGAGATAATAAAAAAAAATCACATTTAGTATTATTTTACAAAAAGCCACTTTATTTTAGCTATTGTAAAATTTTAATTGATATTGTTAAATTTTTGTACTTAAATCATAAGAAAATAGTATTAAATTGTAATTTTAATTCAAATTCTACACCGATAAAAATAATTCTCAATTATTTTACTTTTTGTAGTTGTAAAGTTTTTTAAAGTAAAAATAGCGAAAACAATGGTAAGAAAAGGTACTAATAAGCTGTTTTTACCACTACAAGTAGTACGTTCCAAGATTTTACCACAACATTCGTTGTTTTAAAAAATTAATTGGTTATTATTCGGTAAGAACAGTTTTTTTGTGGGTTAGAACCCGCTTGAATCTAGATATTACATCCATTGTCTCAGTTAAAGCAAAGCAAAGTGGACGTGTTTATCTAATGGAAAACTTACTGGAAAATGGGATTTACAGGAGTTAATTCCTGTATTTGTAGGTGAGTAAATATGTAGAATTCCTTAAGGTATAAATTAATTTAGTTAGAGGTTATTATATTAATGCACTGTTTGATTTTTATAGCTTTATGGAAAAATTGGAAAATATTGTGCTATCCGATGATGCAATTATATTCATTTGCAAGAAATGTAGGTTTTAATAAGCACTATTGTGCTTACAAAGTTTTTAGAACCAATGACAGTTTTTGCATAGACATAAAATCCATTTATGCACAAGCTGTAATTTTTCTAAAAAAAAAAGGATTTTGTTAGCATGCATGTATGATAAGTTATTTTTGTTTTGTAATATTTTAATTTTTTATAAAAAAAAATTGTATTTTTTAAGCATTTTGTGGCGGCTAGTGGATTTTGGGACCCACACCAAATTTATAAGAGTTTTTAATGACATTAAAGACAGACAGAAGCCCCCTGCTCTCCCTTATTAATTTAAATCAAATTAAATTGGTGTAATTTATAATTTACTACAGCTCATCAACAAATTTAAAAAATTGTTTAATCCAAGTAGGTATTACAGATTTTACACCATTTCAAATTTTTATTATTTCA